GTTTTTTGGCGGCTCATCAAAGTGTTACTGCTGTTGTCGTTAAACTTTTTGCTGTAGTTGTTGTTGTTGATTATTGTTTTAACGTTGTTGTAGACGGGTTTGTTGTTGTTGTTGTTGTTGATTATTGTTTTAACGTTGTTGTAGACGTGTTTGTTGTTGTTGTTGTTCTCGTTGTTGTTGTTGTTGTTGCTGCTGTTGTTGTTGTGGTTGTTGTTGTTGTTGTTATTGTTAATGATGATATCTTTGTTTTTTATATCTTTGCCTATGTTGTAATGAACGATAATATGGTTGACGCTAACTTTAAAATTGCCCTTGTCCGTTTTGTTGTTGTTTGCTATGTGGTTTATGTTGCGGGTGAGTTTTCTAGTTATGATGTTGCTGGTGTGGATAAAGTTGAAAATGCTGTTGCTGATACTATTGTTGTTGTTCATGCTATTACTATTATTGTTATTACTAGTGTTATAGTTGTTGTTGTTGTTGTTGCAGTTGTTACTGCTTTTGTTGTTGGTGTGGTTGCATTTGTAAATATGTACACGAGCAACCTTTGCGTCAGTATGGTATTTATAATTTTTTTTATTTGCTTTGGCACTCTGGTTTTTATTGTTGTTATTGTTATTATCATTATTATTATTATTTTTATTAATATTTGTGTTATTTGTATTATTGCTACTCTTATGAGTCTTCTCGTTGTTGTTGCTGCTGTTGTTGTTGTTTTTGTAGTTGTTGTTGTTGCTTCTGCTGCTGCTGTTGTTGTAGTAGTAGTTGTTGTTGATGTTGTTGCTGTTGTTGTTGCTGCTGGTTATATTCGTTTTTACGTTTTGTTGTCTTGTGCCATGCCAATTTATCACGACGACTTTCTCGTTAAATAATTTTTCAGATTCATCATCCACTGCGTCTTCTTCTTCTTCTTCTTCATCTTCTTCTTCATCACCATCTTCATTTTCATCATTTTTACCATTGCTATCAGCATTATTATCGGCATCGTCGTCGTCTTTGTCGCCACCACCATTGCTGCTAATATCGTCATCGCTGGGCGTCATCGATGCTTTATTTACGTCGCCATTACTCGAAATAGAGAACGCGCCGACGCCGCCGTTTCTCACGTGACCGACCGGAAGTTGATCCGGATTGGTCATCTGTCTAGCGTACCAAAGACACATATAGGCGAGTAATAACTTCCGGTTTAAGATGGACGACATGGCGACCAAGTTGTTTTTTAAGAAGGCTGGCTTCTTGTTTATATGAAACTCAGGCTAATTGGTATCGAGTTTTTGTTGATGTTGTTGTTGCTTATGTGCGTGTTGTTGTTGTTGTTGTAGACTTTGTTGAAGTTTTAGCGTTGTTTTGCTGTTTGTGTTGTTGTCGTTGTTATTTATAATACTATACAATATGTCTTTCTCGGTGTTGGTCTGCAGTTTTTGTTGTTGTAGTTGTTGCTGTTGTTGTAGTAGTTGTTGATGCTGTTGTAGTTGTTGTTTAAGTTGCTGTTGTCATCATCTGATGCATTCTTTACTCTGTATATAAACCTTACCAGTTAGTTGGTTGTTGCAGATATTTTACCGTGACATCAGTAAAAGAATTTTAAACTGACACCAATCAAACGCATCAATAAAAAATTATTATGAAAATTACTAATCCTTTTTTATTGATTATAAATAAAATCATAATAAAGACACAAACACACACATACATACACACATACATACATACATACAACAACACACACACATACACACACATACACATACACACAGAACAATGTGATAACGCATGAATCCACATATTCCACACAGTTTCAATGCGACTCTACATCCAAACAATAAAAGTATCTATCTAGCATTAGTATAGAGTGCATATATATGTGTGTGTGTGTGTGTGTGGTGTGTGTGTGTGTGTGTGTGTGTGTGTGTGTGTGTTTGTGTTGTAAGCGGAAGGCAATGGTAAAAAGTAATTTTAGTAATAGCTGATGTTGAATTAGATGCCAAAAAGTACTACTACTAAATCAAGATTAACTAGATCATTGACTGCACTTCAGATATGGTTGTCGGCTGGTATTGTTGTTGTAGTTGCTGTTATTTGTGTTGTTGTTGTCTGAGTTGTTAATGTAATATTTGTCGTTGTATCCTTTAATGTAATGAGTGTTGTTGTTGTTGTTGTTGTTGTTTGTGTTGTTGTTAATGTTATTAATGTTGTTATTGATGTTGTCGAGTGGCTTGACAAATAGCGTCAGATAGTTTTATTGCAATTGCCTGCCTCTCTCTCTCTCTCTCTCTCTCTCCCTCTCTCTCTCCCCCACTGGCCTTAATAAATCAAGCGGAGAAATGTGATTCTAAATTTATTTATTTCGTGAATTCGTAATGAAGCGTTGTAAGAATGACCATGATCACAATATGACACAGTAAAAAATACCAAAAATAATAAATATGTAATTTTTGGTAGGTTCATGTATATTCGAACAAAGTTAAACATAAAAGTTGTTATTTTTAAATTATCAATTTATTTCGGATTTTTAAATAGTTCCATGTTACAAAAATTTGGATACATACGAGAATCGAATCGCAGTTTCTCCTTATATAGCCCAAGCAAATCACTTCGTTAGCTCGTGATGTTTATATTTAAGAGGATTGTTAGTTTTAATGGTTAAGATATGCAATCCGACTAAATATAGGAAAAATAGGCAAAAAGAAAGAGTTAGATATCAATATTATTTATATTTTATTATTTATTATTATTATTATTATTGCTATTATTATTATATGGTCATTATATGTGTCACTCAAATATTACTAAAGATCAATTTATTTAAAATGCAAGATTGACAAGCACGTAGTTAAGTAGTTGTATATCATTGTTCACTAATATAAAATAAATGTTGATAAGTTAATTTTTAAACGTTCAAATCAGTTAAAATTCTTCGCAAATTGGCTCGGTCACCAAACCGAGCTCCATTATTTCCCTATCTCCCTCCACCCTCCTTCTGTAGGATTCATGCGTTAATTTCATTTTTGTAGGTACTTTTGTTCTGCAGATAGGGCAGGAAGCGTTTTCCTTGAACCATTCTCCTATGCACTGATGATGGAATACATGGGCACAGTGTAGCTCTCTCACAAAAGATCCTTCTTCGAAGGGATCCATGCATATTGCGCAGGAATTGTCGGTGAACCTATCTTTGAAAAAAGGTAGAGTAAGTAAATCGTATGCCTGTTGGTTTAAGTGTATAATCTCTGACGTGAAGCCATACTTCTCTATCACAACTTCAATCAACTCAGGTTCTTGGCCGACTAAAATAAACCTTATCTGCGTATCCCGCATGATGTCGTACTGATCGTTATGGCTCAGTTGTTTAAATTTTGTGAGCCAGTTGTCCCTAGCAGAGAGTTCTCCAGTCTCATCTGTCATGTATTTTGCCAAGTTTTCAATCTCGTCTTCAGTTAAGACGCGCAAGGCTTCCGTACCTTTCAACTCGCTCAACATCACTGACTGCTGTCCCTCTCTCCTCTTCCTATCAAAGTCCTCAAAATACTCGTTGATAACGGCCCTGAGATTTTCAATGGTGATACGTGAGTCATACATGGCAGAAATTTCAACAAATCGATCCATAGCTGATTGTGAAACAGAAGATATGAAGATCGTCACAAATATTTTCAAAAACTTCTTAAATGCAGTGAATATGGAACTGGAGATCTTTTCAAATTATCTCAAAAGTTTTTCGAATGCAGGGAACGCTGTACGTTTCGAACCGTTCCAACCTTATATACTGAGTTCTTTATATACAAAGGGCCAATAAATTATAAATTTTACGACGGAACCTCTTGTTAAAGCTTATAATGATTTATTCAACTTTCTCTGGTCTTTGATATACAAAGTCGATTGTTAAAATTTTACGACTGAATCTTTGTTTCTAGAATAATCATTATTTATTATTATTTCGTTGTTCTTTAATTTATATTTATTGCTTTTTTTATTGTTAGCACTTATACTTTTATATTATTCATATTATACTTTATTCCTAAAAAAATTTTCAATATTTGCGTTTGAATATATAGAATGCCGCATTAATATGGTTTCATCAACATTTCCTCAAAGTTCTCATCCAGTAAGAAAACATAAAAAAGATTCCAGGAACCAGTCAACTGTTTCCCGGCTGATAAATGTAATTAAAGATATTACGGAGTGAGGTAGTTTAATGATTTAGTTGCCTGCTTCTGCTGTTGCGGTGACTGCGTTCGACTGCAGAGACACCAACCTATCAATCGTATGCGATTAAGTTTGTTGTATAATTGGAATAATTAACTGTTTTTGAATTATCATCTAATTAATCAATTAACTCAAATAAATAAGTATATAATTTATTAAGGGGGTAGGTTTCAAACAAACTTAACTTTGATGAATTAAACATAACTCTGACGAATTAAATATTTAATTGTTTTCCTTGCTTCACTTTGTATTTCAGTCTTGTTTCATGTCTGCTATTTTGGTTTTCGCACGCTCTGTTTCGTTGGTTTGTTTTTTTTTAATTTTCAATGTTTGTTATTCTTACTTTGTAAAAATTTTCTACAGTATGCTATTTTTCTTGCTTTTCTTTCTCTCTTTCTTTTTCTCTTTTTTTTCTTTCTTTCTCTCTTTCTCTCTTTCTCTCTTTCTTCGTAATAAACCATTTTAGGTGCCATGAACGTATGATCCAGCACACACATACATATCAGTATGTATATTTATAAAGATAAAGAGAGAGAGGGAGAGAGAAATATTAAAAGAGAAAAAATGAAAAAAAAGAGAGGGAAGAGAGAGAAGAAGAAGAAAGAAAGAATCACAGTGGAATAAGATGAGATGCATACATGAACTATCCAGTGACATTTATCAATGTTCTGTTTTGTTCATCATTGTGATGTTGTTGTTGTTGTTGTTGTGTTGGTTTTGATGTTGTTGTTGTTTTGTTTGATGAAAAATTTCATGCTCACTCTATGTTGGAAATTTCTGGTTTTTGTAATGTAATTTAAAATTTTCTTTGCTTTGCAGTTCTTGGATTAGATTGGGTGTTATTGCTACTGTTATATCAGTGCTACAGTAATTTTTTATTGTCTTTTTATTTATATTTTTAATATTATTACTCTTTGTTATTGCTATTGTTATTGATGTTGTTTTGGCTTTAGTTTATGACGTAGATGTTTTCAATGTTCGAATTTTTTCTTTCATGTCTTTGTTTGCTGAAGTTGTTGTTGTCATATAAAATGTCTCTGATGACATTTATGTTGAAGAGAGTAAGATGATGACAGTGACGACGACGATGATGATGTTGAGAATTACGATGATGATGATGTTGAAATTGATGGTTATGATGGTAGTCAAGATGATGATGATGATGACTAAGCAGATGAAGGCCAAGACGATGATATGACCAAGATGTTATGACCGAGATGATGATGATGATGCGTAGATTAAATTAATGATGGTGATTAAAATGGTGATGGTGATGATGAAGATGTCAGTGAGTAAAGTGATGATGAGTACCTTGATTTTGACCAACAGTATAATGACCATGATGAATACTAAAATGACCAAGACGATGATGATGATGAATTTTTTTTTTTGTTTAACTAAAAAAGATAAATTCATGGTGATGAAAACAAAGATAGCCTAAATGATGATGACCTAGATGATGATCTGATGATAATAGCTTCCATAACGATCTAGAAAATATTTTTTGAAGCTGATGATGATGAATATGCCTTCTGTGATGTTCTTCATGGCCGGGCTAATACATTTGTTACCGTTCATGGTTTTGGTGATGTTGTTGGTTTTTGTTGTTGTTAATGTTGTTGATGTTGTTGTTAATGTTGTTGTTGATAATGTTGTTGATGTTGTTATTGTTGTTGATATTGTTGCTAATGTTGTTGTCTTTTGGTTAGTAGCGCTAACGTTATTGCTAGGATTTTGCAATTTGCAAGCATTCCAAAATTTTTCAAAATTTTTTTGCGATTTCTGTTTCTAGGAAACTCAAAAAAAGAATGTTGCTCAAGTTTAAACAATCAACAATTAAAACTAAACAAAATGAAACTAAAAGGCATATAAATCTTAATAAACTTTTGGTTAAAAATCAAAAATAAATTAAAAAAATAAGCTAATTTTCGTAGAAATAATTAAATTAAATTTATTTTTGTTCTTTTCATAAAACCTTCCATGGAAAGATTGCAAGATTTATTTCTTTTATATTTGATATGAGAAATTTTTAAATACTCAAGGTTAGAAGTCATTTTTTCGTTGTAATTTCTCCAACGTGTAAAAAACACAAGCACACTAACGCACACACACACACACATACACGCACACAGAGAAACAAACATACACACACACCACCATATACACACGTCACACACATGGCATATGTTAAACGTGGTTATCTCTGCAGTTGAACCCAGGATCGACAAAGCAGAATCAGACGCTTTTAACCGTTCGACCATCAAGCCGTAAATGTTAAATGTTGGGTGAAAGAAAAGCTGTACTTATTAATGATGTTCAAGAGGCTTCATTGCCCTTCTGAATGACGCGTTCAATCAATTTTCTTTTAATTTTTTCATTATTAAAAAACTTTAACAAAATTTTTTGGTAAAATTTTAAATGTTTTTCAGTTTTCTTTTCAGTTTTTTTTCATATTTTAGTTCTAGTTTACTCTCGCTTTTCCTCTCTCTCTCTCTCTCTCTTTCTCTCTCTCTCTCTCTCTCTTTCGATACATTTGACACAGACAATCTCTGTGTGTGACGTGTTCCTGTCCATTAACTTGCATTCATATCACTTGCTGGCTTGCTGCTAAAACTACATCATATGAAATAAATACATAACACTCTGACAATGATAGATTAGGAGAAAGAATAAGTGTGAGAGAGAGAGAGAGAGAGAAAGAAACAGAGCGAGGAAGAGGAGAGAGAAGGGAGAGAGAGAGAGAAAGAGAATACAAATGCGTTGACACATTGGAAGCGCGTATTAACTTATAGTTTGTATGGGGGTATTGAATTATTGGCGCAATGTCTAGTCACGTAGAGCCCATATTAAATCAATTCATCCACACTTATTTTCATTCATTTATTCGAGTATTTTCTACTGTTAGGCATTATTTTTATTATTCTATTATATTTATAAAATCTACTTTATAACGGAGAGACTACTGCCTTTCTGTCCTTGTCAATATCCATGCTATAGCAGCTAAAAGGAAAATTTAGGGTGATTTTGGTTGACAACTATTTTTGTATCATCATACATACATAAACACATACATACACACATGCATACACATCAACATACACACTCACATATATACACACCAACGTACACCCACGCAAACGTCATCACAGCATTTTATTTATTCAAAATTTAATTTCCTCTTAAATCATCACACCTGTTTTTATTATTCATTGTAGTAGCTAATTAATTTTATTAACTAATAAATACAAACTTATTCCCTTTCTACGAAATGTTACTAACAAAGAGGAAGGTAGTCAAAGGAAGGTTAGCCAAGTGGGTAGCCAAGGGGGTGAGTAGTCAAAAGGGGAGTAGCCAAGGGGGTTAGCCAAAGCGCAGCTTCGGGTCTGTATCACCCTCAAGTGACACTTCAACAAGGGTTAATGTAGAGTTAAACTTTTGGCAAACATGTACAAAGAATACTGATTTTAATATAAAAATTTAAAAAAATATCGAATACCTCTCACGGAAAATTTCTTTCTAGCAACTTGCGAAATTTGCAAATATAAGAAAAAAAAATTTCTATAATTTTCTTTTCAGCATTTCAACGCATCGCCTAAACCGCACTGCTTGTATATATGCGCTAATAGACGCATCATACATTGCTTGTGACAGGTAGGGGTTTCTTTGCGTTCGAATCTAGTCACGGCAACAGCAGTGCCAAGCACTGTACCGTTACACCATCGCGTCGCCCATATATAAGGTTAGATAGGTATGCTTGTGCATGTGTGATTGTCTCTATTCCGTTAACAATTGTATTTGGAATGCTAACTAATATTAATTGCCACCCAAATAAATTGGCATTAGCAGAATATGAGAATAAAATCATAAATTGGAAAATAATTGAATGAATAAATGAGCCATCGAAGGCCGAGATAAATTGGTTTATATCAACTCTCACGTGGTGATGCATTGGCCTAGTTGGGTATTTGTAT